TATCTGAATTTGAGTCATATGATATACAAAAAAAATAAAAAATATGAGATAATTACCTTTAATAGGGTAAACAAGATTAAAAAAAAAAAAAAAAAAAAAAAACACTAGATATAAACTCCTAATTCAATCAATGAAGAAGCTTATTGGATAGGTACATGATTCCATATCTTCCTATCATGTGTTTTGAGATGCTGGAGAGGAGGTGAAGCATAGAATGTGAGATAGAGAATAATACTATATATCAATTTCATTATATCCATCAAGCTCTAAAGTTAAAAATCAAAAAGTCATCAACCAAAGTTAATCTACTTGAATTAACACTGTTCAGGACAGTGAACAAGAAAGAATGCAAGGTAAAAATAAATGAAGATTTCTATTTGGCTTCATAGAAAAGAGGGATGCAGCTTACATTTTATATATCACCTCTTTTAGTATTAAATTTTCTATTCTGTCAGCAATGGTGGCACATTTTAATCTTTGAGAACAAGATGAAGAGCAAAACAAAATGGGATAAATCAGACATTCTCCAATGGGGGAATCATGAAATGGAAACACAAACATCAACAATCAAACTATTTTCTCACTAGAGGGACTTCTATGAATGGATCACTTAACATGTAATAATCAGCTTCTCAATTTCAACCAGAGGAAAAAACAGGTACATCAGTGTTTCAAAGGTAACAATTCTTATCAAATTATCATGCAATAGAAAACCAAAAACAATTTTATAAACATTAATTCCTACCTGGCCTCCTGTTGTCCTTGGGATAACAGAGACAGAAGCAATGTCAACGTAAGTCTGAGATGTGATAAATAGGTCAACACAGACCTGGAACATGTCAAACAGATAGAGCTTGCTTAGATATATAATAGCCACCAGCTGAATTGACACAAAAAACTCAATTTGCAGTCATGCAGACATACATTGGATCACATGATAACTACATTGATGAGAATAGGAATGAGTAGGAGTCTCACCTGATACTCAGCAAACTCAATTGCCATTGTTTTTAGAGTTTTGTCCGCTGGCTGAAGTAATTTATTGGTCTCCTAAAATTAATTAAAATGAAAATTTCAATCAAACTTTGATCTATGTATGATTGACATGGAACTTTGAATAAACAAACAAGAAGACCCAGAGTCCATAATTTTCATTAAACAGCAGAGATTTAAAGAGACAATTAAAGATAATGCACACCCTTTCCCCAGCAGAGATGCTTGTTCTACCCTCAGCTTCCCTTGAAGAGAGTGCTCCAATGCCAACTGACGGCAAGACTGTATGAAAAATTACATTAATCAGAACACTCCTAAAATTAGTAGAAAAGGTGACAGAATAAGCACCAGTAGTCATTTAAAAGTGGAGGTTTAGTTTAGTAAGCACTCCGTTTGTGTGGCATGTGAGATCATCTATACAATCATACAAAATTTGGACATTAAAATTTTGAGGCCAATGGACCATTAAATATTTTGAGGCAAAAGGAAATGATTGTAGTTAAGTTTATGAGCTTGCCTGACTGGAATACTAGAAGCTTTCCACCAGTACTCTTCATGGCCAAGAAAGCAGCCTGAAATACAATTAAACCAGTTAGATATCAACACTGACACTATGCATGTGTTAAGGATCATTCCTGTTCAAATCCCAACCAGCCATTATAACCTTCTGGAAACACCCATTTAAGCCCTTCAACTTCCTGCTACATTCAGTTAGCCCTCCTAGTTTTCCGGTTGGCATTTAAGATCAAATAGTAATGAGAAAACACTTTTCCTATATTACTTGTTTAATATTTTACAAATAATTAAATGTCTAAAAAGTTTAAAAAATAAAAGAAAACAAATTACTTAATTGGCTCCCTTTGCATTATGGAGTGCCAGGTGCTCCCTTTTGGCAGTGAGCACAGATTTGCTCTCCTTCTGTACTAGAGAGATTCTTCATTTTTTGTCTTGATTTCAGTTCAGTTTCATTGTAGTTAATAGTCACCTACTATTTAACAGACACATAGATAAATGAACGTGCAGCACTGCAGGCCAAAAAAAAGAGTGCCACACTAGCCTTTTTCATTCCATAACCTTCAATAAAGACATACCTTGATTGCTGCTCCAAAACATGACTCAGCAGTTTTGCTATTCTGAAACATTGTAGGGATGCTTTCAAGCAAAAGCTCTAAATGTTGACGGCACTGAATCCTCAGTAAAACATCAAATTAGTAAAACGCTTTTGATAATTCTTAAAGACAAAATTAAATCAAATCATTGGCGATGACATATCCATTTACAGGGTTCAACAGATCCAACTGAAGGTTCCATCTTTAGAGCTCACCTCAGAGAGCTGAACAATAACATCTGTTTCCAGAGGGGTATAAACATCTTGTATATCAGGAACAATGAGCATCAACGGCTGCAAATGTGCAGAGACATCAAAATCAGGTGAGGAACACTATCACATAATTACTACCATTGTTGTCATCATCATGGTCATTATAATAATTTTCTAATCCACTTTTTCCTTTTTAAACTATAATCATCCAACATTATTAAGAAAAGGATCTTCTACCAAGATATTCTACCAATGAAAAAAGAAAAAAAGAAAAAGAAAAAGAAAAAGAAAGACAAGAAGAATGTCAGAAATGGGGTGAGCAGAAGGTGTTTAGTTATTATCTACCTGTTGCAGTGCCCTTTTTAAATTGTAAAAATGGATTGTAGAGTCAAATGTTGCGATTCCCACCATAGTTCGAGGACCTTCCTGCAACAAGAAATAAAGACATGTCAGTAGTAATTGTACAACACCTGCACCATATTTGAACATTTATGCATTGTCTTAGCTATAGGTAGAAACAGTTCCCCTAGAAATTAGAATGCTTCTATGGGAAAAATCATCGCAACAGCCTCCCATAAACTATTCTGTTACATGATTTAAAAACTTACGCAGTTAACTCCAAAGTTTAAACAATAGAATGGAGAAAATTAGAGACAATGATATCAATCAAAGATAGAAGGAAAACAATGAAAATCAGCCAGATTAATATATTAAAAAAGGAATTAACCAAAAACCATACACTCTACAGATAGATGTGAAACTCACTGGAAGATCAGAAATAACTTGATTGATAGCATTGCAAGCAGCTGCAGTTGCACCTGTCTGGATTGCATTCATTGACACATCAATGAGGAAAAAGAACACAGCTGGCATTGGATCACGAACCTGAAATTTAGATGTTTGGGGGAAAAAGAATTGATTATTTGGTGACAAATTTAAGAGAATAACAAGAGAAAACAACTACAATGAAATTTAAACCAAAGAAGAAAAAGAAACGGGGAATCCCAGGTCAAAAAATTTTTATAAATATTAACATAAAATTTTAATTGATTGTATCCTCCAGCAGGAGGAAACTAGACCTGAAAAAGGTGCAGCATGTGTTATCATTCAAATCAATAAGCAAGACAGCAGCCATACTAGCATAACCATATTACTCCAAAATAAATCAAGCAACAAAGACTAACAAAAATATTCAGCTAGCATGGACATATCAATGACATCATGCTTGCCCTTTAGCATAATAAAGTTGAAAGGAAAAATTTGGGTGTCTCCACTGTTTTGGACCACTATGGGTCTGTATCACCAATCAGGGAAAAAAAAGAAAGAAGGATTCAATAATGATCACAAACAAACTTGGGATTATGGTTTAGTTAAGTTGGGTATGGGCATATCCACCACATTATACTTTTCTTGATTAAAGTTGTATCATGGGTTTGTTCATCTGTGATCTTTGAAATGTCTTATATATATCTTACAATTTTCCATTCAAATGAAGAGCAAATAAAACAGAGAGTAACTGATGCTAGAGTGGTTAACTATAGCAAGCAGCAGCAATCACAAGTCTGTCATTAAAGGCTGCAATGCTTCTAAATTAACAAACCATATATTCTTTTGTGGCAACAAATTCAACCGTTCCTCGACAAAGCTCAGGCCTCTCATCAGCATCTCTGCGCCTGCCATCTGGACCGAGGTTGCAGTGGTAGTCACGGGGAGTATCATCAGTAAATCCTGCAGGAAAATACATGCAAAGTTAAGTTACCACCTGAAAATATTTTAGCTCCAAGAAAATACTCCAACATCCAGAAGATGCTATTATGAGGTATTTAGCCCCAAAGGAAAATGCAACCCACAGTTAAAAACTAGTATTTCCACACAAGTAAGCATAAATGAGATGAGACACACCCCAGGAGTGAGCATACATTTAAAACGGTGGGAAACAACTGTTACAATGAAAGCACACTTAATAAATAATACTAACCACACAAGTTGCAGATGAACTTCCTTCCCTGATCAATAAATTTCATGAAAGGATTTATATAACCTTTGCAGCGAGAACAACGCACAGGACCACTTTCCCCAAAGTCTACAATCTGTAGTAAGAGATATTTTTAAGGCATGATCAGTAACTGCAATTTTCATAATTTTTGAATCAGGAAATAAAATCATTGTTCAAAACAATCTCTAGGAAGCATAAAATGTAGGTTAGAAAAATAAAGCAAGTAAACATTCTTGAATAGGCTCCTCTGATGGATGAGGAAGGGCCAATGGTTGGGCCAACAAAGCCAACTGCATTCCTGATGTTGATAAAAGATCAGCTGTACAAGGGATCTGTTCCATGAAAAGAAATAAAAAATTAGACACCAACATTCAAGAATGGTCCCCAGAAATTATGGTACAAAATTGAAGTAAAATGTTGACTAAATTCAAAAAAAGTAACAGTGACCTGATTAATGGTGCACCTCATGTAACGTGGACTGCAGTTTCCAGTATCTCTGACAATGTAATCGCTTGTAGCAGGCTTCAAAAAGATTGAACTTGATCAGAAAAAGGCCAGAGAACAGATGTTATATACGAAAAATATTAACAAAAATAATGGGTGAGAATAAGACCAAAGGAGAAAGAAAAATCAGAACATACAACTATATTTTTAAACCCAAATCGAATTAAGTAGATGAGTCAAAACAGGCAACCATATTTTAAAACCCACATTAAATTAAGTATCTTTCAAGCCCTTTCTGTGAAATGGTCAAAAAGATTGTACCGGAGGAGGATTGGCCTGGTTGCCTTGGCGTGTTTCATGAAAAACTGCTGTGGAACTAGGAATTGGCCTTGGAATTTGATTAGGATCAATCTTCGATGGCCCTGCCAAAGGAGCTCCATGTTGACCCATAGCAGGGGGCATGCTGGCCATCATCCCTTGATTTGGTAGTGGTGGTGGCATTCCAATCATCCTTGGTGGTTGTGCAGAGCCAGGAATTTGAGAAGGAGTCATCTAAAACAATTTGAAAAAATTCTCAAAATTAATGATGGACATGGATGAAAAGCAGATGACACCTAAAATTGACTAAACATTCTTTGAATAATAACATTAACTAGTTTTAGATCTTCTGGAAAACTTCTGTCCAATATTTGAAAAAGTAAATGACAAAAATCTCATCTCCAGTTATAGTCATCTGAAATTTCAAATAATTGCAAATCAAAAAGATCATCAATTCTCAATTTGGAATTATAACAGCTTCGTTGAAATGTCACTCTTTACTCATCCCAACATTAGACAATGAACAATCCATTTAGCACTCCTTTGACATTACCTTCCAACTCAAATGAACAGCATCTACATGTTATATATACAATCCTTGGACTGGATCAGAAGTAAAGATAAAGTATTTTACTTCTAATTGCTCCAAGTGACAATGATGAAAGTTTCCAAATCTGATCATCTTTAGACAAAGAATGTCAACCACTTTAGGAACATCAAAACTTTTCCACCACAAAAAGCAAAATGGACTTAGAGATTTGACATGTCACTGGCAGACTACTTAAAAATCAACTCAACAACCAATTAATCCAAAACTAGTTACAAATCTCTGTTTGAAAAAATCTTAAAGCATAGTATTCTAAAGAACTTTGTACTCACCTGTTGAGATTGCAACTGCCATGCTTGCAGACCAAAGGACGAAGCAGGGTTTGGCAGCCT